TAAACTCACGCCTGGCCCGTGTGCGTGCGTGCCCAAGATCCTGAGAGGAGAATGGAGGAGAAGGGATGGCAGCGTGGCCATCCCCCCTGGGGGGCGATTTTTCGCTTTCTGTCTCTCTCTTTCTGGCAAGTGCATGCACCCTATAGCAAAAGCTTCTCAAATAAAGAAAAGAATAAAAATGACTTGAAAATGAAAGTGTATGGGCTATGTCCTCTAAAATTACAGAAATTTTAGCGCAGTTGTAAGCACCCTTGGCAGTATTGACATCTGGGTCCAACCGATCTCCGTGTGAAGGGGCCTATCCTATGCCGTGCAGCATGTTCCTTCTGTACTCAGCCTAGGCCTCTGCCCGATGCCGTGAACGTGCCTCCTTCAGGCCTGAAAACTAAAAATGTCTCCAGATAATGCCCAAAGTCCTCCCTGGGGCACAGCCAGCTCTCTTGGAAAACCAGTCGTTAGCGAAGGAATCACTCAGTACATCACCATGGCGTTCGGCGTTGGTAATGCGAGGCAGAGCGGCCTCATCGCGGGAGACTTGCCTCCCTGTAGTCAGTGGAGTGCCTCGAAATTCCCGGCCCCCACCCCTGCACCCCCGCTCTGCTGGGGCCAGCACCTATCTGAGCCTCTGGCTTGCAGCCGGGTTAGTTCAGGGCTCGCTAAAAAAAGAAAAGGAATCAAATGGGGAGGAAACAGCAGCTTCTCCTTCATGCTTCGTGGTTTCTGAAAACATATTTCAGATTTTTCATGTTGTTTTCATGATGGTACGACTTGAATTTTTTTGGAGTCGAAATGTTAATCATTATGGCAACTGTGGAAAAATTTTGTCCCCTTTGGACGCATTCCAGTGCTCAGCGGGCTGCAGGGAATAAACTCCCATGCCCCTCCTGCCCTTCTCCGCTCCTTCCTCTCGTGAAGCAATTCTTCTGTAAGCTTAGTTAAGTTGGTGAGCGTTTTCTCCTCGAGGGTACGGAGGGAGTCAGTGGGAAAACGGCCCCTTAGATGTTCTCGAGTGGGTGAAGCTGCATACATAATGGAGTACCTGTATTTCACAGTTGAGGAACCTCAGTCGAGAGAGTGTCTTATCATTAATTAGGAGCAAAACGGGATCTGTTTTCTCTCCCTGTTTACTCCTGCCCTTTTTGAAAATGTGTAACTCACACGCTCAGTGTCGTCCTACAGGAAGCCGATGGCATGGGCAGTGAAATCCCAACGGCCATTCGTGGGAGCATGCGAGGATGTTCACAGGTGGCGTGGTGATTGAGTCACTGGACTCGCACGTGGTGACCGGGGCTTGAGTACTGGACCTAGCAGCTTGCTTTCTCACTTTCTCTGTCTTTTGCACGTAAACGTGTACACACATGTGTCCTGTGGCAAAATTGAAAAAATATAATTGATAAATTAATTAAATCCTTTTTTTTTTGGAGATGTTTTTGCTATAGGGCATGTGCACTCGCCAGAGAGACAGAAATCAAGAAATCACCCCCCGGGGGGATGGCCACACTGCAATCCCTTCTCCTCCATTGTTTTTTCTTTTTTAATTATTTCATTTTATTTATTCATTCATTTATTTTAATTTGACCAAAGAGAGAGTGAGAGAGAAAGCGAGAAAGCAAGCCGCCAGGTCCAGGACTCAAACCATGGTCAGCCATGTTTAAGTGTCCAGCACCTTAACCACCACACCACCTGCTGGCCCCCCTTCTCCTCTCAGGACCTTGGGCAGGCACGCACATGTGCCCAGCGTGAGTGTAAGCCACCGGGTCCAGGATTCAAACCGCGGTCAGCTACATGGGAGTTCAGCGACATAGCCTTTACGCTAACTGCTGGTCCCTTAAATCTTTTTAAAAAATACTTTATTAGCTTTATTTATTCACTTATTTTAATTTGACCAGAGAGAGAGAGACAGAGCGAGAGAGAGAGAGAAAGTGAGAAAGCAAGTTGCCAGGTCTGGGAGTTGAATTGCGGTTGGCCAGGGAGTCCAGGGCCCTGAAATGAAATAATTCTTTAAACGGAAAAAAAATGTCCTAAGCTCTCCGTACCCCCCTCTGATCCAGTAGGTGACCCAGCTAGGTCGCCCCTGGCTCCCACTTGGGTGGAGCTGTGGAGCTGACCAGGATTTGGTCCTACTGGAAATGCCATCCATGGGGGTCCTTCTCTGGGTTCCTTCCTCCTCACCCAGGTGGACGGGGCAGCACAGTGGTATCCACCTTTCTCCCCTCCCCCTTCCCTCCTTCCCCCTTCCCTCCTTCCCTACCGTTCAGACATGCGTCTTGTGCTCTGTTCCCTCTCCTCTCTCCCCAGACCCTCTCCTGCCCCTCTTCAGCTGTCTGCATTCTCTTTCCTGAGTACCCCAAGAACATCATTGTCCCTGGCTTGCCCCCACTCTTGGCTCTAGCACCACTCAAACTTGGGTGTTTCTGTTCCTTCTCACCTGCCTTCATGGGCCAGTGAGTCCCACCTCCTCCATGAAGTCCCTCTTGATTTCCTTTGCTTGGAAGAGGTGGCACAGAGACTACACCATGATTCTCTTCGATGAAAATGCACAGACGACCAGCACATTGACCTGCTGCTGTGAGTGGGGTTGTGTGGAGCACGAGCCCTGCCCACAGAGAGCCACGCGCGGAGGGAGTGCCCACGTGGGTCTGAGCAGGCCTGTCTGCTGTCCTCCCTCACTGTGAGCCGCCGATGGAGGGATTCCGAGCCTAGCTGTCACTGGAGTGTCTCTCAAAGCGGTTTCCATTCTGGCCCCGGGTACGAGCTCTTCACGTGGGGATGTGCCAGTGGTCTGTGTGCTGTCCTGTTGGAGAGACAGCTGTCATCAGAAGTGCAGGGCCACCACAGTGTTGGGGGTGTTCTTCTACCTCTGTGGCACTCCTCCTGCGGCCGTGTTCACTCCTCCTTCGCTCAGAGTTTCCTGCTCACCTCTCAGTGTCTTCACGAGTGATTCTCAGTGGGGGACATTTGTCTAGGGCGGGTGGTTATTACAGTGGTGATTTCTCTAAAAAGGGTCTCTTGTCTTCAGTCGGGAAAACCCGGGGGGCACAGCTCAGCACACTGCAGCACCCAGGACAGTTCCCTGCATGGCGTTAAGACACCCCACACACGCCCCCTCGCAGAGCTCATAGGGTGATAGGCAGCTGGCCCGGAACCAGGACCTCTCCCTCCTGCTCCAGACTCGGGGAGCTGCTTAGTTAACCCTCCATTTGGAGACCGAGGGGTGTTCCCAAGTTAACACCCATGTGAGGCTTAATGGCTATGTCGCTGGACTCCCATGTAGTCGACCGTGGTTCGCGTCCCGGACCTGGTGGGTTAAACTCACACTGGGCGCATGTGCGTGCCTGCCCACGATCCCAAGAGGAGAATGGAGGAGAAGGGGTTGCAGTGTGGCCATCCCCCCGGGGGGTGATTTCTCGCTTTCTGTCTCTTTCTCTGGTGAGCTCACACGCCCTGTAGCGAAAACCTCCCCCAAAAAAGAAAAAAAAAATGTGATGAGGGGGTGACAGAATGGGCATGCGTAGGCTCTAACTCCTTCCCTCCCATGGGCTGCAGAGTCCTCCGTGGGCTGGACCAGTCACCGTTCACCTCTTCCGTCCAGCCCACTGGCCTTCCTCAGGCACCAAGTACATTCCCACCCCAGGACAGCTGCACGCCTTGTGTCTGCATGCTGGCCTCTCCTGTCCCCGTTCATCATTCCTCACCTCAGCAAACTCTGCCCAGGCCCCTCGTGTAAAGGTAACTCCCCGCTCCGGAGGCACTGTCTCTTCGCTGTGTAGTTTGGCTTTCCTCTTTTTAATTTTTTTTAATAGTTTTTAATAGCTCGTGCTTTTGTTTACTAGTTCATTGTTCATGTTGGTCCCTGCCCAAGTGCCGCAGCGTTTCCATCTTTCACAAGGGCTCAAGGCTTAGTTGTTGTTGGTAGAAATTTGCAGCGTTGCATTGGCTCTGGAACTAGCTTCTGTTTTTACTTGGCGCGCTTTGGAATGGTAGAGGAAATTGTGTCTATTGTTAGAGATGGAGATATTTCAGGTGAAATGCTCTGGGGTTTTAGTTCACCTTCCTGTTGCTGTAACTGAAATGTCGCAGACTAGAGAATTGATAAAGGAGGTTTATTCAGCTCACAATCTGGAGGTTCAAGCCCGAGGTCACATCTGGTGAGGATCTTCTTGCTGATGGGGACTCGGCAGAGACCCAAATTGGTGTAGGGCATTGCAGAATGGGAGGGGAAGACTGTGTCCGCTCTGGTCTCTCTTTTCTCTTTCTCTTTTCTTAAAATTTTGCCAGAGTGCACCTACACTTGTGAGAAAGAGGGCAAGAAAGAGGAAGCACCCACCCCACTCCACCACCCCCACTCACCTCCACGCCACCCCCCGTAGGGAGTGCTGCAGCCCCTTCTCCATTTCCCGTTCCTTTCGGGATTTTGGACACACACGTACACATGCCTGGTGTATTTTTAAGCTGATGGTCCAAGACTTGAGCCACCTACTTGGCTGTGTGGCATCCGGTTTACCTAGCTCCCAGGCCATGGACTGGCCCCTGATCTATCTTTCTCCTTTTTTGAAGCCCACAGTATTCAGTTGTGAAGGCCCCACCCTGAAGACCTTGTCTAATTCTAATTACTTCTGCAAAGACTCCACGTCTTAATACCATAGCTGGATTAAGTTTCCACCCTCTTAATACCATCACAATAGCAGCCAGATTACAACATGTGAATTTGGGGAGGACCCATTCAAATCACAGCACTTGGCACTGTTGTAGTCATGATCCTTTTTGATCCATGTTGAGAAAATTTGTGTGAATAATCTCTTGTGTGTGCTGTCGACATAGGCTTCAGCCTTAAATTCACCAGCAATGGTTGTTTGCCATCCAACACGGTTGTTACTTACAAACCTTCAGGATGCTACTTTGTAACTGAAATAACTGCCCGGTTATGGAATGGTTGAGGATGTGTTCCTTGACATTTTTGCCTTACTTTGGGTTTTTTTTTTTTTTTTTTTTTTTAACAGGTAACTAAAGATCGAAGCAGGGCCTAAAAATAAGCCTTCAAAGAAGAAGGGATTTGCCTGCCTTTGGCTCTGAGTAAGTGAAATTGCCCAATGGGTCTCTTCTTCTATAATGA